GGGGAGGGCTTGGGGGGCCACGGGCCCCCAGCAGAGAAGGGGGCAGGAGGATGGGCTCCCCCTGCTGGGCTGCAGAATCAAGGGTGGCTGAAAGAGGTGGGGGAGCCCCCAACGAGGCCGTCCTTGCCTCCTCCGAGCGGCCACTCTGTCTCCGCAGGCCGTGGGGGCAGGGAGGGCCTTGACGTCCGGTGTCCCAAGTGCCACGGGTCCGGCATGGAGGTCATTGTCCATCAGCTGGGGCCCAACATGGTGCACCACATCCAGGCCATGTGCTCGCAGTGCCAGGGCCAAGGGGAGTGGGTGCGGCCCCTTGACCGCTGCCTCGCCTGCAACGGCCGGAAGGTCATCCGCGAGAAGAAGATTCTTACCGTCCACCTGGACAAAGGTGAGCCCTGCTGGGGAAAGGAGGGGGGGCTGAACTTTGCTGGCTGCCCTGTCCTTGATGCCCCTTTCCGCCTCCTTGGGGCCCCTTTGCACCCGCAAGGATGTCGGTTTAGTTTCAGATTCCTGGCTGAGTTGTAACCGTGGTTCGTTTTAATCCCTTCCGGATGATTGAGTTCATAGCCTGTTGGCAAGTGGGTGGGAGAGGGTTTGCCCCCCAGGCTGGCTGCTTCTAGCCCACAGCTCTCCCCCCCACCCCAGGCATGGCCGACCGGCAGAAGATCACCTTCCACCAGGAGGGGGACCAGGCACCTGGGTTTGAGCCCGGGGACATTGTGATCGTGCTGGATCAGAAGCCGCACCCGGTCTTCCAGCGCAGCGGCAGCGACCTCATCGTCCGGCGGGAGGTGCCGCTGGTGGACGCCCTGTGTGGCTGCAAGCAGGTCATCCGCACCCTGGACAACCGGAGGCTCCTGGTCTCTTCGCGGCCTGGTGAGCTGCTGGGGGCCCTCTGGGGCTTGGGAGGGAGGGGCCGGGCCCTCTCGGAAGCCGAAGTGGGTCCCACCGGCCCCTTTCCTGGGGGAGATCCTGGGGGGGGGGCTGCTGCCCGCCCTTCACCCTGCCTGCTCTGCCCCACAGGCTGCGTGATCAAGCCCGGGGACATCCGGTGCATCCCGAACGAGGGAATGCCCGTCTACCGCAGCCCCGGCCAGAAGGGCAGGCTGGTCATCCACTTCGAGGTACGGAGGCCCTCGGCTGCCCCCAGCCGGCTCCTTTGGGGTGAGGTCTTCTAAGTCTCTAGTCTTACGCAGACCCCACCCCCCAAACCTGGTTGGCTCCAGACCCCGATCTGAGCAAGGGGGGGGGAGGAGGAGGAGAGCCAGAGTCATTGGCCGCCCCCATAGCCCCCCCATTTCTTTTGCCCCCCCTCCCCCTTCCCCCAATTCCTGCTGACTGTCCTGCTGGGAAGGAGCCTGGCTTCCTGCCCTCCCCCAGCTCCAGCTGCCCATGCTCCTGCCCCTCCCCCTCTGCCTGCCCAGGTGAAGTTCCCGGAGCCCGGCTGGCTGCCCCCCCACCAGCTGCGCCAGTTCCAGTCCTTCTTCCCCCGCCACGAAGAGGTGATGGCCACGGAGGACATGGAGGAGGTGGAGCTGCGGGAGTATTTCCCCCAGCCGGACTTCTCCGGCCGTCGCTTCCAGAGCGAGATCTACCACGAAGGCGACTTTGAAGACCCTCTGCGCCACAACGTCCAGTGCCAGACATCCTAGCCCGCCGGACGGAGCCCCCCGTGGGCCTCGCAGGGGGTGAAGCCCCGGATGCCTTGAGAAGCACAACTGCCGGAGGCTGTCCGGCTGGAGCGGTCAAGGGCCGGGGAATCCCCCGACCCGTCCGGAGGTCGGCTGCCTCTGGAAACCCCCGTTTAGCTTAGGGAGTCTTAGCTGCTGCCCCCGAGGATCCTGGCCTAGAAACCAATTTCAGAGCCTCCGCCGGACATTTCCCCTTTGTGCCCGACTGCCAGCTTCGGACGATAATGCCGGCTTCTCCCTAGGAGACCCCGACTCCAGAGAGAAGCCAAACAGGGCCCCATCTGCTGCAAGCCAGGGTTAGTCCCGGCCTTGGCTTGGCCATCGTCTGCGGGCAAGGAGTTCCAGGGGCCGTGGGGACGCGTCCATCTCCCGGCCCCAGCTGATTTCTAGGCCATCCCAAAGTCCAGCCAGGATGGGGGTCCAGCAGACAAGTGGCGGGCAGGCGGCCCCGGCAAGGGAAGCCCCCCCTTGCTGACACCAGCAGGGGCCCCTCCTTCAGCTGCCGCTCTGCAGGAGGGTGGGCTCCCCTTTGCCCTTAAGTGCCTTCCCGGTTGTGCCACCCATCCTGGGTGCTGCCCCCCTCCTGACGGTTGCCTTCAGAATCACAGCGGGCCTTTTCCAGGTAGCCTAGCCAGGGTTAGGGGTTAGCGGTGGGGGGCCCTCGCGGCCTGGGTCCCCGCCTGGCATGTGAGAGCCCCCCCTCCTTGGCTTCCGAACCCAGCAAAGCTTGGTCTCCTCTGAGGAAACTTAGGGGTTCGTTCCCCACTTTTTGCTTTTCCTCTTTTTTATTTTTATTTTATTTTTCCCCTTCTGAAAGAACTGGGGGGCCTGTGGGAGCCGGACGAGGCCCCAGCGTGACTCTCCGGGCTCTGCAGAACTTGACTTGAATTTTGCTTCAAGGGAAACAAGGAGATTCTGCAGATCTTTGTCTGCCTGGTTATTGATCCCGTCCCTCCTGCTCCCTGCTCGGTCGGGGGCTCCGTGCAAAGGGGCCCGGCATCCCCTCAACCGCTCGCTCGCAGCTCCCTCTGGATCCGTGTGCGAATGCAGCCATGGACGCCGGTTGCAGCTCCTGTGCTGGGTGGCCCACTTGGTGGTCATAGCAAGCAGATCCCCCACAAGGCGGGATGGGTGCAGGGCCCAGCTGCCCCCCCACCCCCCACACCTCAGCTCTGCTTCTGAACGGAGACCAGGAGGCAGTCCGGGAAGCGGCTGGGCTGGGGCTGCGGAAGGGGAGCCGCCGGACGGTTGCTGGGGTGGAAGTGGATTTGCAGGCAGAGACGTCCCACCGACCAAGCGTGGATTTGCCCATTTTGTACCTGCTGCGGAAAAGCCTTTTTTCTGCACACGGTTTCCGATTTCCAAGCGGAACTTAATTCGCCCTTTGGAAGGGCAGGAAACGGCTGTCAGATTGGGGGCCTTGGGGAAAGTGGGAGGGGGAGATGCTCAGACCTCCGATGGTGGCTTCGCCTCCTGGACTGTTAGGGTCCTTGCAGAGGGTGGCATGGGGTCCCCAGTTCCTCCTCCCCGATCTGTTTGGGCAGGTGGGTGCAAGGAGAGGGGAAAGCGTGGGAGACCCCGGCACCTTTTTCCGTCTCAAAAGGGGGCTGTATTCCCCAGTGTTTTTGAGGTCTGGGGGGGTGTCTCCTTTCCTGGTCCTTGCTCCTTGCAAGAACAAAGCAAGTGGGGGGAAGTTTGACCCCTCCCCAAACCTTGGACAAAACTTCATCCCAAGGCTTGGAAAAGCTGGTGGAAAGCTGAGCGACAGAGAAGCCTGCCCTCTGGTGGCCACTGGGGGAATCTAGGCAGCGAATGATGCCCCTGGTGGACTCGTTATGGAACTGCAAAGGAGTGATCCCTGGAATTCGCCGTCCCCCTGGATTCAGAACAAAAATGACGGGACAAATCTACCCCCCCCCTTTTTTTAGAGAGAGAAAAAAACCTGGCTGCTTGTTTCTCATTTGGGACGGGACGGAGCCTGCTTGGAAATGGAGGGTCTGCTAGTCCTGGGACCTCCTCCTGGTTCTCTGCCCATTTCCCAGCTGAGGGTGGGGGTCCCCCAAGCGGGTCCACATGGCCCGGGAGCCCCTTTTGCTCTCTGACGGGGCTTGAAGGCACTGGCCCACCTGGATCTCAGGTGCCGAGAGCCACAGGGGGCCCAAAGCTCAGGGCTGGCCTTGCGGGTCATCCCTCGGCCTCCTGGAAAGGAGGGGGCAGGGCCCCCCAACTCTCACCCCCCCCAATCTGTGCAGAGCTGGAGGAGGGGCCGCCAGTCACCGTGGCCTCTGACCTTCCGGGCGCCGAGAGGGAGGGGGCCGTGATGGGCTTTGTCTGAGGATGAAAGTCGCCCCTTTCAGAGCGAGGGAGGGGTGGGGCCCCCCGCTTTGTTCTCCTTCCTGGGAACCCAAGAGGAAAAGCAGAGCGCGAGGAGGTCACTGCGAGGGAGGGAGGTTGCCTGGGATAACGCTGCCGCCGCTGGAGGCTCCCAGGCACAGAACGCAGAGGGGTCCTCGGCTTTGCCATGGCAACGAAGGGGAGGGGGGCTTGAGGGAGCGCTTGCCTCTCCACAGTTGGGCCCACCTGGCTGGGAGGAGCTGCAGCTGCCCTGGCGGAGCAGGGAAGGGGGCAACTCAGCCTCCCCTAGGCCCAAAGCCCCTGTGCTTCGGGTGGGTGGGTTGGGGGGTGGCCACCTTGATTTAAGGCTGCCAGGCATTTCCAAGGGCTGGCGCCCCCAATCCTGAAGCAATGTGGGTCCACAACCTGTGCAAAGGCCCCAGCCTGGACTCCAGGGGCCCCAATTTCACCCTCTCCTCCCATAATGGAGGAGCAGACCCTTTTGGGACGCCCCCCTCCCCCGAGTTTCAAAAGGTGGGGTGGGGTCTGGTGGGGGGGAATGAATCGAAAGGGCTTCAGAGGTGGTTTCCAAAGCCCGCGGATGCTTCTCCCCAGGAGGGCTTTTCTGCCCCCCTCCCTCCCTTGGTGAACCTGGGGTCCCAAAGGAGGCAGAGAACGTCCCACCGAGAGCCCCACAGGAGGGCAGCTTGAGGAGGGCCTGCTGCCCACCAGAGCCTCCCAAAGGATCAGATCTGGCCTCCCTTGGGGGGCCCTGGAGCCAAAGAGAAAGGAGGCGGGAAGTGGAACACCCCCCCCCCCCAAGAATTCCCCAGTTCCAGGAGAGACGAAGTGCCAGGTGGTGAGACGGAGAGGAGAGACTGGCAAGGCGACGGGGGCACCAACTGGGCACGGAGGGGGGGCTGAGGCGAGGAACGCCTCCCGCATCGTAGAAAGGATGGAGGAGGCAGGAGACCTGGGAAAGATTTTAATGGAGGCTGGGGAAGGTCACAGGCTTTGGGCTAGAAGGAAAGGAAAGGAGGTGAGGGGCGGGAGGAGCAGCCCTTCGGTGGGTCCCTGCAGGAAAGCAGCCCACGCCGGCCAGGAACAAAGGAAGGGGCAGCAGGGAAGCCCCCCGCTCCAAATGGGAGAGGAGGGCAGAGCCTCCATAGGGGACCCGTCCTGACCCCCCAAGCCTGACCCCAGATTCTGCCATTAATCCCCCAAACGAGGCAGGCTTCTGTATGCCTCCCCCAAAGGGGGGAGGGGGTCAGGGAGAGGGTCTCTGGTTGCTTCAGCCCCCCTCCCTTCAGCCAGGGTGGAAGGGCCGCTCTGTTTAGTCCCGTGGCCGACAGAGCCTCTGCGCACCAGGCGGTGGGGGAGGTTGGCATTGTGCTGCAGGGCAGGGGTGCAGCTCCCCCACTTGTGCCTGGCGCCGGGTGGAGGCCCCTCACTCGCGGACGTAGATCCTCGTGCACACGACGTGGTCGGCCTTCATGGTCTGAGAAAGCAAAGGAGGAGCAGTTGAGAGGGAAGCAGGAGCGGCTCCTTGTCCTCTGGCAGGCGGGGGAGCAAAGGGGCTGGAAAGGGGGGAGAAGGGGCGAGGGGATCCCCCCAGACTGCCCCCCCCCCAATCTGCACCCTGGGACATGGTTTGGGCTTGTTGCTGTTCCTGCCTTCCGCAGGAGGGAAAAGGGTTCGGGGGGGGGTCTTTCGCTGCAGCTCCTGTGCCATCTGGGGGGGGGGGGGGGCTGGAGAGGGTCCCCCCCCCCAGGATTGGGTGTTGCCCTGCACCCCCCAGAGCCCAATCCTGGTGTAAGTCCGTGCTTTAGGCCAACGAAAAAAGAGCAGCTGAGAAGGCAGGAGGGCGAGGCAGAACCGCAGCGCCAGAAGTGAGGGGGCTCACCAGGATGAGCTCCCCGTCGTTGGTCAGTTCCCGGGACCAGCCAGTTTGGGGCCCTTCTCCTTTCAGCAGCTTCTGCTCACACACGATCTTGTTGTCGTTTTCCCACTTGGCCAAACTCTGGAAGGTCGGGAAAGAAAAGAAGTGCCCCCCCCCCCCTGAGCAAAGGGGCCTGCTGAGGCCAAGGAAGGCACGTAGCTCCCGCCCATCACCCAGCAGGCGCCTGGCAGGACGAGGTGGCATGGATGGGCCAGGGGTTTGTTCCACTTTGCAGGGCAACTCCTCCATCGCGGGGGGAGGGGAGGACTGCTCGAGAGGGAGGGGGCAGCCCGAGGGCAGAGGCTTTGAAAGGCCGCAGAACCCCACCCCACCCCCAGACACACACACCGATGTCACGGTCTGCCCGGGGCCCAAGGCGGCCTCTGATGCCCGATGCAGAAAGGGTTGAGAAGAAGTGGGGAGGGCCAGTGGGCCTGGCCTCCCCCATTGGCAGGGCCAGCAGCTCCCCGCCTTTTGCTGCAGCCGGTCCAGCTAGGGAGACAGCCAGGCAGCCTCTGTTCCCCACCAGAGCCTCTGTGCAGCCGGAGGCCCTTCGCCTTCACAGCAGAGGGGGCTGCTTTGTCCGGGAGGGGGCGCCTCCCCCAGCCAGGGCCCCCCTCCCGCCCGCCTGCCCCTCACCTTGCAAGGCCTCCCATCCACCGTCTGCTCCTCAAACTCCTCCCCAACCTCAAAGCGGATCTCCGTGGTGCGCACAGTGGTGGAGGTCTTGATGTAGAAGGAGGGTCCCTGCTGCTTGATCTCCACCGCTGGTTTGGAGGCCGCGGCCACTGCGATCTTCCGGAGCATCACGTTGACCCCTGGAAGAAGAGGGCGGCGCAGGGCAGCCGAGGTGAGCCAGTCCCCGAGGGACCCTGGTGATCGATCGATTGAGGATCCCCAGGGAAGCCTGGAGCTGCTCCTCCGCCATGGATCCTGCCCACCCGGGGTCCAGCTGGCCAGGCAGGGGAACGGGGGACTCCTCCCAAAGGGGAACCGTTAGGAACCCCCTGCCTGCTGGCGGCTTTTCCCTCCGTGGCTGATTCACCCTTTTCTCAACTGCTTGCCAGTCACACCCGTCCAAATGGGGATCCTTCACTCCTCCTGAACAGGCTGCGCTCACAGTTGGGCTCCATTTGCAAGAGACGCGCCCAGCTCTCCAACTGTGGGGGCCCCCATTTTGTAATGCCCCCCCCCAGTCTATGGACATTCCCGCTTGTCTTTGCACGACATTTGCTGATGCTACAATGAACCTGGTCATCTTTCTGACGCTTCTTACTTCATTGGCATTATTCATTTGACTTTTTGTTATCTTTCTTAAAACACACACACACACACACACACACACTTGCAGAGGTGGGACTCCAGCCAGGTTGAAGGGGCGGAATATGAGGCAATGACAGACTTTAAGGAGAGTGGGAGGGGGGAGGCTTTTTGTCATGTTTCCAAAAAAACAGTCATCAAGAACTTGCACAACCGTCAGTCAGGACAGCCTCCCCCCTCCCACTCTGGAAGCTGCGCCAATGGGGTTGTACGAGCTGACAATTGTGCAACAGGCAGGAGAGGCAAAAGGACAGAGGCACTAACTTCCAGGCAGCCTGGCTGAATCCCAGGAAGGGGTAAACCAGGGGGATCCAAAAGAGGCAACTTTAGACCTGTGGACTTCAACTCCCAGAATTCCCCAGCCACCTAAGCTACGCAGATTTTTCTCCTCTGGATTGGCTCCCACTACTTTATTTTGTTTGCTATTAGGTCAGATTTTCCACGGGGTCTGGATCCAATCAACACCCTGCCTGAAGCTTCCCTGCCTGTCCTGGACAGACCGTTTCCCACCCCATCTGCTTTTTTCCAGTTGTGCTTGTCCCGCCCCATAACTGGAATGAGAGCCGCCCCCCCCCCCCCCCCATGAAGCAGAAAGGGGAGAGCAGCAGGGGAGCGAAGGAGCCTCACCCTTTCCAAGCAGAGATGGGGCCAGCCCTGTTTCAGCCCGTGTGGAAAAACATGTCGCGTGGCCCTTGGCTGGCCGGAAGCAGCCAGCTGCCACGTTTCTCTTGGGGAGGACCAGATGCCACCCCAAGACTGAGCAAAAATGGCCGCCTTGCCAGGGCCCAAGGGGACGAGATGGAAGACTTCAGCCAGATATGTGGGGTTTGTTCTTTTTTTCAAGAAAGGAGGATAGGACAGCATGGCAGGGCTGGTGGGGCCGCTCGGGAAGCCTGCCATTCCGGGGTGCCCTCACAACATTCATATCTCGGTGGTATCACTGGTAGAGCAGGATTAGGGCCCCAAAGGCCTAGATGCTAGATTGGCCACGGAGATAGACTGCCTCTAGGGCTGGAGGGTTCGCTTCGCTCTTCCCCCAAGCGGCTCCAGCCCAGACTTGCCTTGGTGCTTCCGCCTCCACAGGAGCAAGATGGCTCTTGATGCCTTTATCCCCTTCCTCCAGGAATCTCTTGGGAGAGGATCAGGCCACCTCCTCCCCAAAGAACTGGGTCACAGTCCTGGCTCCTAAGTGGCGCAGGTTCATGCCAGTGTGAGCCTCGTGTGCCCTCCCTCTCTTCCCCACCGATTCACAAATGCACATCTGAATTCCACCTCCGTCTCTCCTCCAGCCTCCTGGCATCAAATTATCCCCATCTGGGAGGCAGAATTACGGGGAAGAGGAAACCCGAGGATTTGATATTTATCCTTTCCCCAAGCTGGAAGGAATTTGCAAAGCCCCCCCTCCCCCATCTCCTCCTGGGGAGAGGGCAGGTCTGAGCTAGAGGAGCCGAGAGCCACAGACCTCCCCCAGAAAGGAGCCGGGCTTGAAAGCAGCCCCTCCCCTGGCTTTGCTGGCTTTAGGTTAATGGGTGGGTGGGCTCCAGCTTGCCTGGAAAAAGGTGCAGGTTTTTTTCCTGGTTGAAGGTGGGAGGAGGGGAGACGGGAGAGGAGGCTGAGAAGGGTGTTGGGGGGGGGGGGGGGGTTTCCCCCCCGGCCGCCCCCCGGCAGGGGCCCCGACGGGGGGCCGGGGCAGGGAGGGCAGGGGCGGCTTCCCGGGGGGCGGGGGCGGGGCCCGGGGGGGGGGGGCGAGCCTTCCCTCCCGCTTCGGCCTCCCCAGAGGGGCAAATCCCCCAGAACTGCTGCTGAAAAGAGGGCGCCGTTCTGCCCCGCGTGCTTTCTGTGCCCCTAATCCTCGGAATAAAAGGGGGAGAGGCAGGCGCGGCCTTGAAGGCTCACCTGGAGTCGTCCCGTCCCCCCCGCCCCGATCTCTCCCAGGGAGGAAACGGCGCTGCTGAAGGGGAGAGACTGAGACGGGAGCAAGGGCTCGACTCTGCCCCCCCCCCCCGCCCAGCCCCCCCCCCCCCCGCTTCTCGGGTTCCCGCCTCTGGGGCCCCGGGGAGCGACAGATGCCGGAGAAGCGGTCCTGAGCGGGAAACGCCCCCAGAGCGCGGATCATCATCTCCGGGGGTGATCGGAGCCTTTTCGGAGGGTCTCCCTCCCGAAGCCCGCACGGAGGAGCCGCCTGTCCCCCGACGGGTCACCGCCTTTTCCTGGTTCGCTCGCGCTGGGGGTTTCGGGAGTGGGGAGGCTTCCCCGTCCCTTCCTTCTCTGCGTGGTCCCGGACCTTGGGGGTAGCGGCCCGCCAGCCCCCGCAGCGCAGCCTCGCGCTCTCCCCGGTGGCCCTGCCGCTCACCCAGCGCCTTCAGCAGCTCCTCGAAGTTCTCCGAGCTGCGCATCTTCCAGCTGCCGGTGAAGTTGGCCATGACGGGGGCGGCGGGGGGACGGCCGGGCTGGTCCCTGGTCCGGCGGGAGAGGAGCGCGAGCAAAGCTTCTTCGCCGCCGCTGGTGGCTCCGCCGGCGCGCCTCGCCTTAAGAGCCGCCCGCCCCGCCCCTCCTCTCCCCTCCCCTCCCCTCCTCTCCTGAGGAGGAGGAGGAGGGGGCCCCGCTCACCTGCTTGCCCCGCCGCCTCCCGGAATCCCTTCCCGCATCCCCGAAAAGCCGCTTTCCAGCCCCGGGTGCTGAAGGGACGCCCCGGAAGGCTTGGACTGCGCCCCACTTCATTGGGGGCAGCAAAGGTGGGAGTCGGGCCTCGGAGCCCTCCTGGATCTGGCCTTCAGCAAGAGTCGGGGGTGGGTGGGTGATTGGTTTGGGACAGAGAGACCCCAGGCCGATGGAGAGTCCTGCCTTGTTCACCCCTTGGGCAGGTTTTAGGTTCCCTGGAAATTTTAATTGGCTCCTTGCAGGGGCCCTTCGCTGGTTTTGCAATGTTTGGGGGACACAAGCTAGTCTGGAGAGACTGGTTGCCTGGTGCCCCCCCCTCTGTGTGTGTGTGTGTGTGCGCGCGCGCGCGCGTGAAGCCACCAATAATTCCGGGAGTCCAAGTCAGTCCCCCCTCCCTTGTCTGGGAAAACAGCCCGTCTGGGGTGAACCGCAGAGCAAGCAAGCTCTGCCCTTCAAGGGGAATTAAAGTGCCCCCCCTCCATTCTGGCACCACCCCCCTTTCAAAAAGGAAGAGAAAGAGAGGACGGGCAACCACACCTACCTATTTCTTCCATTAACTCAGCTTATTCCTTGTGGCAGCCGGCTGGCTCCCTGCACCAGAGGTGGGATTCTGGGGCCGAGGGAGCCATGCTGGAGAGGAAGGTCCTCTAGCAGGTTCCCCACTACAGGAAGAGCCCATCCACTGGGGAGGGCAATGGGTTGCCCTGCCAAGGGGGGGGTGTGTGAAGCGTAGGGGAAAGCCCCCCCCCCTCCATAGGGAGGGCAGTCCAAAACTCCTAGCCTGGAAACCTGGCTTTTGTTCACAGAAAGTTGGCAGATTACAGGAGGGATTTTCCAAAGGGGGAAAAGAGCCCGTCACCTCCTGCTCTGTCCCCCCCTCCCCACTGAAACTCAGTCCCTCCTGCATGGGCCTTGTGGGGCAGCACCCGGTGCCAAGATGCTCCTGGGGGTGGGTGGAAAAGTCACCCCACCCTTTCAGGCAGAGCTCTGGGGAAAGCCGCCCTTCAGCCTCTGGTCAGGGATTCCTTTGGGAATGGAGGGAGGGGGGGGAGAACATCTGCTTTCCAGACAGCCCCTCCCACTTGTGGGTGCCTGGACTCCTTCCAGGATCCGGAGAGAAAAGGCAGCTCCAGAGCAGATGGGGGTTCAAGCCCCCCACCCACATCCCATTCCTGCTGCAGGCAAGGCCCACCATCTGCAGGCACCAGGCCAAGGAGGGAGCAGCCTTGGGGCGGGGGGGATTCCTCCCCCCCCCAGTGCAATTGTTCCAGGAAAGCCCCTGCCGCCTCAGGCTTCCTCTAGGGAGGCTCAGCCCGGCCACCATCCAGGGAGAGGGCACAGAAAGCCCCCCTGTTCAACTCCAGAAAGCCAGAGGCAATTGAGCAGAGCCTTGGGCTGGCTGGCTGGCTTTGCAGGAAAGGCTCCTGGGTCATAAACCTCCGCCCTGGAGGCATTGCAGTCCCAAACCCCCAGGGCTCCCAGGGGCGGGCAGGCAGAGAGGCAAAGGGGGGGGGGGAGGTAGAGGGCCAGCCTTGGACAGGGCCGGTCAAGCACTCCGCTTCTCTTTGGGTTGGCTAATATTCGTGCAGTTAGGAAGGAGCGGCTGGTGCTGCTGAGGGCCCCTCGCTGGGCCCTGCAGGGCTTATCCTGCCCCCCCCAAAGGTGTCGGCATGAAGCCAAAATGGGGCCCCTCCCCTTGTCTTCCAGCACAGACCTCCTGAGGCCACCCCAGCCCCAAATCCTGCCTGGCCTCACTCCCCTGCTTAGTCCTGGCAGTGGGGTTTCTCCCCCTCCTGTGTGGGTGTGGGTGTGTGCGCGCGCGCTTTGGCAAGGGAAGCAAGGAAGAGCCTGAAGACATCTCCCCTCTCGGCTTGCTTAGCGCTTCCGCTCCCAAGTAACATGCCATGCATGATTGAGCAACTTGGCACACACACACACACACACACACGCACACAGAGGCATTATGCGATTGCTCTTGCCCACTTCACAGCCCAGTTGTGTGATTTTTCAGTCAGAACCTTGGGGGGGGGGGGCTGTGCCATTCTTCAAAAGACCCTCTACTTGCTT